GAGTCCAGCCAGGTAGGCATCCAGCCTCTTCTTAAAGACCCCCAGGGTAGGGGCCAGCACCACTTCCCTTGGAAGTTGGTTCCAGCTCCTAGCCGCCCTAACCGTGAAGTAGTTTTTGCGGATGTCCAATCTATACCTCCTCTCCATCAGCTTGTGCCCACAAAATAGGCTTTTATTTATTAATTAAACTGATGGGCAAAAAACGATGCAAGAACTCTGCTATTGTCTTTTGTACTACACAAAATAAAGCTTACCTTGTGCCTGAAGGTGAGAAATATCCAACCCTTCTTTTAGGCGAATGACAACTACACCATACTGAATGTCAAAGGCATCGCTGTAAAAAAATATATATATTTTTATTCCTACAAATTTCATAAAAAATAGAAGATTTAAGAGATTTTTAAACAAGCTTCATGTATGCAAATTGCTTCATACAACCCAAACTTCCCCAGTCCAGGGTAGGAAAAGTAAAGAATGGAAAAGCCTTATTCATTGCTTCTAGTTTCTCACTTGCTTTCCAATTTGCTTTGGGCATTTATATATGTGCTCCAGAAGCGAGTGAGTGACCCAGCAGAGGGGGGAAAACGCTTTAAGAGCAGCTCCAAGAGCTGCTCTAATTAAAGCGACCTGAGCGTCACGTGCATCAGCATCCCCATGCTGAAAAATGGTTGCATCAAATGAGCTTCAGTTAAAAGTGCCACCAATACCATTTTTTTAGCATGGGGACACTGAAACATATGATTCTAGAGCCTGCTGGAATGCGGTTAATTACCAAACTCCAGTGAACTCCATTAAATCGACTCTGCACCGACATGCTGCAATTACAATGCATTGGAGCAGCCTTGCTTCACTTGTATAGGAGCCTTATGGTTTTATATTTGGGGGTTTCTAATGAAACTCAGCATTCAAGTTACATGGCTTATTCACTGGCTATCCTCTATGGGCTGCAGCAAACAAACTGTATCTGCAGTTCCTAGGTTCAGTTCCTGGGAAACAAGAATCTCATATATGTGTTGCTTGTAAATGTGTTAGGAGTTGCTAGTGGACCATGAGGTAAACAGTGAAATCCTGGTCCCATGGGGTTTACAAAGACCCAAGATCATGGAAACAGGATTTCATGCATCATCATTAGAATCCTAACTCATCAATATGAGCATAAGCAGAGAAGTTTAAAAAGGTGAAATTTTATCTAAACATATCATAAATTAAGATCTAAAAAATTACCACAGAAAAAGGACTGGCTGAAAATTACCAGCAGTCACACAAAGCCTGAAGATGCCAACCAGATGCATTAAATTGTCCATTACAAGTCATTTTCAATCCAGGAGTCAAATTTCACAAATGAACATTCTATAAAGTAAAAGCATTTCTATCATATACTTCTAAAAAAGATTCTTTCATCCCTAACTATATTCCATATAGTTAGAGAAGTCTCAGCAGACCATATTTTAAATTGAAGAGCTACAAGACCCTGTCAGCCAACAAGAATTCTTCCAGAAACCAGAAATTCCAGCCAAAACAACAGATAAATTAAACAAACTGTTCTTTATTTCATAACCTTTAGTATACTGGATTATTTTAAGATACTTATTTTAACTTTAATCTTTGTCATTTCCCTTTTGATTTTTCACTTCAAAGCCACAAGTCTAGAGCCATAAGTACATTTTTGGAGTTCCCAGCATAGGTAATTGCCTATCATCCCACCTTGCATCCCCAAAACTGCACTCCCCCTGCTTGTTATACCTCTGCACATATGCACTGCAAAAGGTGTACAAAATTTGAAGTCCTGGGTGAATATTTTGTAAACTGAATTTAACCTGTATGGCAAACCATTTGGAACTACAAATCTCTGGGGACTTTTCTTCATTGTTCTCAATACTTTAATTGAAGTTGTCACACACACTCTTCAAATAGATACATACAAAAAAATTACAAGGTTGGTAACAATTCTTTTAAACTGCACAAAATGGATTCTTTTAGGCTTAAAGTAATAGTTGATTACCTAGATACTTGCCCACATTAAAACAGCAATGTAGTACCAAGGGAAGTACCAAATTAATCTATTAATTGACAAGATCTCTGTACTGAAAGCTATTATTAGACTGATAGCAACACCCCATTCAGAAGACTCAGAGTAACTTACAGTAAACAGACAAACAACCCACAAATAGGAAACAGAAGTAGAGTCCCCAAACACCACTCAAAAATTTAAAAAATACCAAAACTCAGCAACCCCTGTTGTTTCCCTGCCTAACACCCATAAATGCAAACACGCCAAAGAATCACAACCATGCTTCCAAACTGCCATTTACATCCAGATAAATCCAAAATCCTCCTGCCTCACTCAAGGGAAATCCCTACCACCTCCAATAATGTCCCTTCCAAACAGACACTCCTATAGAGGGGCTATGGCTGCCCCCACCTCTTCCCCCTGCCCCAGGAAAAAAAACCCACACCCACAAGCAGAAAAAGCAGGGCATAACAGGGTCCTGGCTCCACTGCCCCCAGCCTGCATGGCCTAGCAGCCCCTGCCAATGACAAGTATGGTGTACCACCTGCAGTATGCTTTCGGGGGGTGGGGTGTTCCCTGCCTGCTGTTGCCCACCCCACCACCCTGCCAGATCCTTTAGGAGTGCTGCGCAGCATAAGGTAAGCACTGTAAGAAATCAAATCAGTCTTTAAATGAGGTGCCATCAAATTCTGAAAATTTATGGAGGGATGCCTCAAGTCTAAAAAGATTGAGAACCTCTGTTGTACTCACTGCAGTAAGTTGATATAAGTTTCCACATCTCTCATGTCAGCCTGTCTCCAATTTTTCTTAAATCCCATAACAAGAGTGTTCGGTCTCATTCGACCCAGACCAGCTGCCTAAGAACAAAGCAAATCCAATGTTTAAGTATTACTTTCTCATATACCACATGCCCCCAGATAAGATGCACCTGCTTTTGCACAGGGGAAATGAAGAAAGAAAGATTTTCCCAGTGTCCTAGCCAAATGCTGACCACAGGAACCTGGAGAAGAGAGGCTACTCTTCAGCATCACTCACCATCTCCTTTCAAACTCTGCAGCCTTACCCTTTAACTGTCTCAGCTGCTGCCAGTTTAAGCTTGAACTGCAGTGAGGGACTGAGCAGCAGACTGCGTTCCTCCTGTGTGCAGCTGGAGAGCAGCATGGAGACAGCTCCTAGCAGCCATACCCCATGCCTCCAATCCAGCACAGAAATCAGCTTCTTTGCTTAAAACATGCACGCTAATTTTGGATGGTTAATACCAGGGGAGGGGGAGAGGAAGAGGAAGGTGAGTGTGGAATCTGAGTAAGTATAGTAACTTTAAAAGTTTTCTTTATAGCACAACACAGTTCAGGAAATGCATAAAATGTAGCTTAATTAATATAGTGCATAAAATAATTAGTTACATTAATATGCATGCTTAAAAGTATAAAATCTCAGATGTAAAAATAGATAATTGCAAAAAACATACCTGCATTAAATACTGTCCTCCATCCCTCAAATCTTCTGCATGTACTGGTGCATAGAAGGCCTTCATCTTGTTTTTAATAAGCCATCGCTGATATTTGCCCAAGTCAGTAGATAATTCCTTTACGGCTTGCCTGCGAGGACCCTTTAATAAAAGAAGCTATGTACTAAGTCTGAAACGAATTTTAAAATGAGTGCAGTTTCTTTTCAGAAGAATGGAAATGTATGGTTTCATAAATGCAATCATAATTCTAGCCCAATACATTTCAAATTCAAAAAGGACACTTTTGTCATTTCCAAATACACAGCTGTCACCACAAATAAAATTCAAAAGGCATTAATACAGGTTTATGAGTGCTTCCTAGACTTCACCAGGTAAACATTCCCAAGCTAGAGATCCCTTGCCAGCAGATGGCATAACCTCAGTCTTTGTATAAGGATAAAAGCTAGTAACTACCTTAAAGTGGCAAAAAGATCTGTGAAGCAAAGAGCCATGAAGCTACAGACAGACTAAACATTGGGTTTGTGGCATCGATCGTTTCCCAACAAGCTATTTTGAAATTGGTAAAGTTGATGATCGTTTTCAAGGTGGATTAAAAAACAAAAACAAAAACAAAAAAGCTTGTGTCCCTTCCCTTATCCACAACTGCAGCTTCCAACCAAGAACCTTGCTAACAACTACAACAGGAAAGGCCATTTTTAACATTTTCAATTTCATTTGGATTGCCAGGTATATAATTAAAAAACCTAGACACCTACACAGTGTAACTTGTATACCAGACTGAACAATGTAAACATGATAACTTCTGAAACTACCTGACATAACAGAATTTCAAGACTTTCACAAAAAATACAAAACACTTATTTACTTATTTTGAGAAACACGTTAACCGTCAATGGATCTTGTCATTAAAGCTCAGCTTTCAAAAAAAAAATAAAAGGAAATTTTATTATGTGGACATTATCAAACATCAATAGAAACCAAGTAAACTTCCTAAAAAGCAGAAAAAAGAAATAGTAATACTGACCATGTGTACATGACCACAGACCATCAGACCCACATTTTTTGTGAAAGCATGAACAAGATGAAGCAAAGCTGGGCGTGAGTTTGGAGCACCTGTCATCACAAGGCATTGAGGCCTAAAGTTTTAAAGAGGAAAGGTTAGAGTACAATTATTTCTTCTGCTTGTCTGTTTTAGTAACTTGTAAACAACTCTGAAGTTTTATGAAAATATTTTTCCATCTCAGAATTGCTAATGTAGACTTCAAGTAATCAAGCAGCAAGTCAAAAAATGTATCATGCTGACAGTCATCTTGGCTCACTCCAATTTTCCATCAATTGGTTCTATTAGTTGTCTAAAAGTATATGTGCCAGCTTTTTGTTAAAGTGTTAATTGCTCTCAACTTCCTCCTCAAATATAGCTCATTAGAAAGATGGTTGTAAACTCAATATTGTTCAACTTTATTCTCACCAGCTTCCATACCCTTTGTCTAGCTTCCGTTGACATAGCCATACTCCAATGATCAAGCACCCTGTTCACAGAATAAAGCCTTCAAAACCCAAAACCACAAGTAGCACAAAACTGTCTTGTATTCTTATTTTCCAGAAACACAAGCAACTGTCGACAGTACAAGATGTTCTTGTACCAATGTAAGTCAGTTTTGTAATACACTTTTAAAAGCTAAGTGACATTCAAAGTAAGCATTCAAACCCACTACTTTCCTCACTCTAAAGGAAAGGAAGTCACAAAAGTACTTCCAATCTAATCCCTAGGGTTCACAGATAAGATTTTTACATTACTGACATTAGCACAAGTAGAAAGCTACAGTTAAATATCAAGATTTAAAAAGGATCTTTTAAGTAAGAGGAGTTTTAGTGAACCAAAGAGAAACTCCCAGTGAGCATACATGTATTGTCACTTTAACATTTACTATAGATGGACTGTAGCACCCTACTGGAGGTTACCCAACACTTCCAATTTATAAGCCCTGTTTTCAGCAGCTTAAACTATATGAGCTGAAGTTTTTCATGCAAGATATTTGCCTCATTTGTTCCTAATTGTTTTTTAAAGCTATTGTCATGAAAAAAAAAAGACTAGAAAAAATAACATTTTGCTCTTGCTAAAAAATACTGTTTTCTTTGAAAGACTCTTGCACCTCTATATATTGAACCATGGGCTAGAACTTTGATAGCAACTAACCTACCAGGATGTGGCTTCTACTATCCTCAAAAATATTGCCCAACTTTGGCCAAGTTATGGAGACTTAAAAGTTTCAGCTTTCACACACACACACACACACTTTTCTAGGTGCTTTTGAGAAGCTAAATTTTCCCCCCCCAAAATGTATATATGCATGCTTCTAGGCGCTTTTGAGAAGCTAAATTTTCCCCCCAAAATGTTGTACTGAGTGCATTCCTGTCTTAGGACTATGCATTACTTTTTCCTGCAACTGTAGCTGCATTGCTATTAGGGACTGTGCCAAATCCAGGGCAGGTCACTATAAAAAAAAAAGAGACTAGGGAGCCTGAATCCATCCACCTCTGCTCTAGGTAGTACAGGGAAGATAGTTGCTTGATTCAAACAAAAAGGGAGAAAGAGCTAGATATATGCAGCGGACAGCAAGTGAGAACAGAGGCAAGAAACTGTGAAGGGACAGAGGACAGAAGAAAAAAGGATCAGAGAGAAGGGAAGATGATTAAACTAAAGAGAAAGTGTCAAATCATATCAGAGCAAGTGTAGGAGACTGATTAGCTAAGAAAGGCTGCGAGAGATTTGACAAGATTCCATGCACAGAAATAAACACATAGCAGGGGAATTAAAATAGTGTGGACAAAAGGACTGGCAGTCCCCAGAGGTGAAATTAAGATTTAAACTGAGATAAGAATCCCAGAGATTAGGAGTAAGGTAAGAAATCCAAGGAAAGCAAGAAGTCAAAAAAAAAAAAAAAAAAAAGCAGCTTTGGGAGAAGCACACAGAAGAGTCTGTGCCTACTTGAACAAAACCCTCTCTAGAGCCTCAAAACCCAAGATTCCAAGTGTGATCATTCCTGCCATCTACAAATTTAGAAAAAGTCTATGCCGACCCAGTGCTCTCTCACATAGAACAGGATAACAGTCAAAATAAACATCACTTCTATCATCTAAAATACAATAGCCACATGCACTTTCAAGAACAGCTCATTCTACAATATCTAGTCCAATCAGTTTCAACAAGCACTAAGACATGCCCTCATCACAGGGAAGCCCCTCTAAGGGCCAAAAATAGCTTAAGTATAGGTTCCCTTTACACATAGGCAGATTATAAAATAGAATGATAGAACAAGAGGATTAGAAAGGACCTTTAGATTTCATCTAATTCAACCCTCTGGCTGAATATAGGACCGGCCTTGACTAAACCATCCCAGTCAAGTGTGCATCTAACCTACTCTTAAAAACATTCAAATGATGGAGATTTCACAACTTCTCTGGGTAGCCAGTTCCAATGCTTAGCCACCCTCACAATGAGAAAGTTCTTCCTAAATTAACCTAAATTCCCCCTGCTGCAGTTTAAAAAACTGTTGCTCCTTGTCCTGTGTTCCCTGCCACCACAGAGTAGTCCACTTCCACCCTCGGCATCCTTTAGGTATTTGAAGACTTCCTCTGCATCCTTTAGGTATTTGAAGACTTATCAAATCTCCCCTCAGTCTTCTCTTCCCCAGACTAAATAATCCTAGCTCTTCGAGCTCTTCTTTGCAAGTCATGCTTCCCAAGCCCCTAATAATTTATGTTGCTTTCCACTAGACTCAGTCTCATAACTTACAACATCAGTCCACTAGTTGGCTCATAGCTTATGATCCAGTGCAACCCCCAGTCTATAGTACTGCAGTCTGGCTAGTCCTTCCCCAGTCTGCATTTGAGAAAGAATAATAGCATGTCCAAGTGCAAGAATTTGTCCTTGCTGAATTTCATCTGATTGATTCTGGATCATTTATACAATTTATCCAATTAATTCAGGATTCCAGCCCTACTCTCCAGAGCGTCTGCAACTCCACCCAACTCACTGCCATCCATAAATTCAATCCCATCCTCAAAATCATTTAAAATGTTTAACAAAAGCAGCCCCAGGACAACCTCTGGATAACCCCACTAGACACCTTCTCCCAGCTATATACCAAGCCACTGATAACTTGTTAGACACAATCCACCTGGCTGTGTATCTATGTCACAGTACTTGTATCTAGCCTGCAACCCCCAAGCTAACTAAGGAGAATGTTCTAGGAGACCGTGTCAAATCCTGTTTAAAACAAACAAACAAACAAACAAACAAACAAACAAACAAACAAACAAACAAACAAACAAACAAACAAACAAACAAACAAACAAACAAACAAACAAACAAACAAACAAACAAACAAACAAACAAACAAACAAACAAACAAACAAACAAACAAACAAACAAACAAACAAACAAACAAACAAACAAACAAACAAACAAACAAACAAACAAACAAACAAACAAACAAACAAACAAACAAACAAACAAACAAACAAACAAACAAACAAACAAACAAACAAACAAACAAACAAACAAACAAACAAACAAACAAACAAACAAACAAACAAACAAACAAACAAACAAACAAACAAACAAACAAACAAACAAACAAAACCACATCCACTATGCATACCACATGCTACTCCTCTTATGTACAGCACCTGTCACCCAGTCATAAAATTATCCTAGCTGGTCACACATGACATGCTCTTGGGGAACCCACGCTGACTGTTCCTAATCATCTTATTATTCTCCTGGTGCTTAGAAATACTCAGATTCATAGATGTAGGGTCGGAAGGGACCTTGTAGATCTTCTAGTCCGACCCCCTGCCCTGGGCAGGAGAGAAAACTGGGCTCAAATGACCCCAGCCAGGTAAACGTCGAGCCTCCTCTTAAAGACCCCCAGGGTAGGAGCCATCACCACTTCCCTTGGAAGTTGGTTCCAGATCCTAGCTGCCCTGACCGTGAAGTAGTGCCTTCTAACGTCTAGTCTAAACCTACTCTCTAGCAACTTATGGCCGTTATTCCTTGTTACTCCAGGAGGCGCTCAGGGGAACAAGGTCTCTCCCAAACCCTGCTGGTCCCCCCGTAGTAAGTTTATAGATGGCCACCAGGTCCCCCCTCAGCCTTCTCTTGCAAAGGCTGAACAGGTTAAGGTCCCATAGCCTCTCCTCATAGGACCTGCCCTGCTGTCCCCAGATCACGCGAGTGGCCCTCCTCTGGACCCTCTCTAAGCTGTCCACCTCCCTCCTGAAGTGCGGCGCCCAGAACTGCACACAGTACTCCAGCTGCGGCCTGACCAGTCTTGCATAGAGGGGGAGGATCACCTCCTTGGCCCTACTTGTGATGCATCTGTGGATGCACGACAAGGTACAGTTAGCCCTACTAACAGTGTTCTCGCATTGTCAGCCCATGTTCATCTTGGAGTCAATAATGACTCCAAGATCTTTCTGCCACCGTGCTTTCAAGAAGGGAGTTCCCCAGCCTATAGGTATGCTGCTGGTTCCTACTGCTCAAGTACAGCACCCTGCCCTTGTCAGTATTGAATCCCATCCTATTTTCATTTGCCCACCCCTGCAATCTGTCCTTCCCTTCTTGTGTGCCCACCCCACCCCAAATCTTGGTGTCATCTGCAAATTTAAACAGGGTGCCCTTCACCCCGTCGTCCAAGTCACTAATGAAGAAATTGAACAGTGAGGGCCCAAGGACCGAGCCCTGGGGGACCCCACTGCCCACTTCCCTCCAGGTTGAAAATGACCCGTCCACCACCACTCTGAGTACGACCCCTCAGCCAAGGAGGGGGACTCCTTGATCGCCTACTCCTTATTTTTTGGCACTGAGGTCAGACTGACCGATCTGGAATTCCATGGATCTTTTTCTTCCTGTTATTAGAGATAAGACCTCACCCTCTCTCCCAGAGATGAAACTACCTCAGCTAATTCCTTCAGGCTCCATCTCATCCAGCCCTGCCAGCTTAAAAACATTCAGCTTCTCTAAGTAATCTCTAACCGTTCTTCCTCTACACTAGACTACTATTCTTCTTTTCTTGCTGCCAGCAGCACGTGTCATCCGGTAGCAAATCTTATTTGTGACGACTGAATTAATAAAGGCATTAAATACTTCAGTTTTCTCTGCATCAGTTACTAGATTGCCACCTACATTCATTAAGGAACCTGTAGTTTTCTTCATCTTCCTCTTATTTCTGTCAAATATGTAAAATCTTTTTTACTTCTAGAATCCTTTTACATCCCTTGTTAGTTGCATTTCAAATTCAGCCTTAGCCTTCCCAATTTCCTCCCAAGATGCACATGCAATATTATTATTCTTTCCCCCTAGTAATACAGTCAACGTTTCCACTTTTTGTTAGAATTCCTTTTTGAGTTTCAACTTACCATAGATTTTCAGTCAATTAACAGCAATGCCCCTTCTGCAACTGCAAATCCTCAAAGACTGCATTGTTGCTGCAGTTTTTAGCAAGAATGGATTTAGCGACCGCAAATCTAGGCAGTTTTAAGGAGATACTGGTGAAGCACCAGAACTTCACCCACAATGCACAGCTTAGTAGAAGTCATTTGTAATAATCTCTGACATAACCATCTTCTCTTACCTGAAGTTTTTCACATGGTCTTCAACACCTGAAAGACGAATAGAATGCTGCAGTGCATTCAGGTAAGTCAGGGCTTGTGTAGAGGATCCCCAGTTCACATCTGTAGGCAGATTTGTTTTAAGACATTAAATTTAAAAAAAAAAGCCAAGATATTTTGACAATTGTTTGCCTCTCAAATTAAAAAACTATTTTGGGGTCATATAGTTCTAATACTAATTAAGCACTACGTCAGATTATGCAAGATAAAATATAATTATGCTATTTCCCCACTAAAAGCAGGCTAACAAACTCAACTTTCGATTTGGAAACATTCTTCTATAAATGGCATGTTAGTAACCTAGTAAGTGTTCTGGATCCAAGCCATTTGATATTAAATATTTTTGGTATTTCAGAGAATGGTACAAGCTTTGAATTAGACAAAAGTTAACAAATCTTTGTAGAAATAAAAGTTTTCTACCTACACTAGACATCAAGAAACAAAAATTTAGACCTATAAAACTAAGTCCATATAAAGATTTCCGGTTAACTTTTAAGTCAAGAGGAAGAATACAAAAATGAAAAGCCATTCTTTTAGACTGCCACTCAGAAACCAAGTGATAAGAACTCTCTCATATCTTCTCTAGGTGGAATAAGAAAGTAGTGGGGATAGGTTGAAAAGCTAATGAAAATATGCACTTTCCTCCCAAAGGGATAGGGCTTGGGCTTCTTGTCCTCCATGTGGATTTAACAGGAGCAGACTTTAGTAGTGACGGTAGCTCATGAAAAGCTTAAAACGCTGGGACAAGTTGAATGAAAAAATGTATTCCAGTCTTTGAAGGAATCTGATCTTTCCTGTCTGCTTTCTTAGAAGTGGCAGGAATTGAGGCTGAAGTCCACTAAAGTGCCACTGGCCTGCCCTAGAAAATCCTCCTCGCAGGTACAGATGAGCAGCCTTGTAAGACTGAAGACAACATCAGCATATGCAAATTGGCCAGACCGTTGCTAACACAACCGCCCTAAAGCATCTCCATTTCCTTATTAAGATCCAAGACAGACCCTGAAGCCACTAACTATGAAGGGTAACTGCTTCCCTGAAGATAAAAGGCCAGGCCAGAAGAAGCCTCATCCCATCTAACATTCAAAGAAGATTTTCCTCCTCAGAGCAATAATCCTGATTTAGAGCAAAATTTTAATACTGTGCATCTTAAATGAAACCAATGGCCACACACTGAATGATGATGAGAACAGAACAAGTCTGCTGCTCATTCAGTTCCATGTTATACAACGAACAAGGCAAAGATACTACGGGAGAAGGAAAACAGTCTGGTAACGTAATCCCATATTGATCAAGATGCCTATGCATAATGGAGCTGGAAGAGGCTGTACAGGCATTTAGAGGCCAGAATACCAGAATCAGAGTGCATGACCAACTAATACCCATGACACTTATTCAGTTCCTTTCTTCCCTGCTTCTCCACTTTGCGCACAATACTTCCATTTAAAATGTTTTCTGAAGGGGTCAGGTTTACACTGTAAATTAAATTCCTGTCTACTCACTAAAAATCAATCCAGCATAAGTGGTATGCACTCTCCTAAAGTTTCCAAGCATGCCATGTGGTGGTGAACAGTTATGTTTTAGTCTTCATGCTTATTTTAGATGAAGACAACTTTATTTCTCTTCAGGCAATGCAGATCAACAGCCAAATAAGCCAAGTCACAAGTCTGTAGATGCAACTATTTTGCAATTAAGAGAACTAAGAAAAAACAAACTGATGCAGGTTTTCTTCACTAGATTTCTAACTCTGTTCAGGTCTCAGATGTACAAAATACAATGCCAGGACTATGTGGTACATACAGTTTCACTGTTTAGATTTCAATTTAAATATAATGCCCATTATATTCTAGTATTCCCATTTATATTTCCCATTCTTTTCTACAGTACCCCATCAGAAAAGGTGACAGTTCAGCTTGGATTCAGGTTCTAACATATTAAGTACTTAAAAAAAAAAAAAAAAAAAAAAAAAAAAAAAAAA